AGGTACGTAAGCAGCCTTGCCTTCTGCACGATAAAAAAGATGTTCTCTCATTTGACCAATCCTCATGCTTTGTGCGGGTCTTGTTTACAAGTGCATTCTGTAGTAACCTGCCACAGATGAGCTCTGACATCCTGCACTTTGTGGCACTTGCTTTGAGAAACGAGGACTTGGGCTCAACAAAGTCCAGCTCCCGTTTCCACCACACTTATTTCTATATGTAACAAGCCCTGAAGAGCCTTATCCTCATTCTGCAGGCTGCTCAGTAACAACAGTTTTGTCACAAACTGCTCCCATTCACCTCAACGGGGCATGAGCTACACCTAAAGGACAAACATCTCTGAAATGTTAGGTATCTTACTTAAGCTTTCAGCCAAAGCAGTTATTCTAACTGAACTATTCCCTACATTTTGAAGACTGTTGCCCTGTAAGTTATAGGATCCAGTCAAGCCATCAATACTGAAAAAATCCTTCCTTTCCTAATGGTAATGTCAGAGCAAGGACTGCCATTCAATCAAAAAATGACAATACCAAGATTTTAATAGCACGAAAGTGCCTTTAAAAATAAGAGTTAGGCAGCAACACATCTGAATGATCCCAGCTCACGAGTACAGCGGGGATGTTTCAATCTGAAACCAGCACAGGATGATGTGGACACAGGTCTAATGAAGAGCGAACGTCCACGTGCCCAGAGGGGCACGCCAGCACCCACAACACTGGTCTGTCTGCAAATCCTGATACAGCTGTACGCAGCTTTTGCAGGATCTCCCAGCAAACAGGAGGTCCTCTTGACTTCCTTGGTGCCACAATGAAGCAGTGCACTATCAATTGCCCCAAATCCCTTACAGGGTCAATTAGAACCGATTTTGTAGGGCAGATCTGCAGCAGTGATCCCCGAACACAGCTCCATGTGAAGGCATTCAGGCTCACAGCAAGGTTGCAGGTGCATTCGTGTACCGAGCTGCAAACAGGCTGGAAGCGGCACTTCAAACACCTTCACCCGAGAAGGCAAACACCAAGAAAATGAGGACACTGCTGCAAATTGGTTCCCCTGCAATCCTAGCAGAGTCCTAACTGCTGAGCTGCTGCTGGCAAGAGAAAGGGTGAGCGAGAGGAAAGCACCGTGGTGGCCCAAAGCAGCAATGTAACAAAGAACTGCTGCAGCACAAGGAAAAAGATCTCCATCACAAAGGCAAAGCGTGGGAGATCAGTGTGCTCCGTCACGTATTTGAGAAACACAAGCAATATCCTGGAGCTGCAAGGCAAGGTCTTCCTGCACACAAACCACCAGCAAACCAGGGCAGCTGAGAATCTGTGCAGCTCCTCAGAAAAGGGGAACTGGGACTCTGATTTCTGAAGGTGGCACTCGCCCTGCCTTGACTTGTCTTGGAAGAGAGAAGCCAGAATGAGGGACAGTGATGGCAAAGAGAATTCTGAAAAGCTAAGAGCTGACACACACACTGGAGTTTGTGATAACCACTTCATTTTCAATAGACTGGAAACAGGAAGGATTAGACACACTGAATGCATGACAAAGGACTGGTCAACGTGCCAAATCAGGTTTAGAGAAGTAACTTCTGACAGTTCTCGTCTTTCCAGTCAAGGGCTATCAGCTGGGAGATGAAAGGGAAAGAACACCCTAAAGCCACAACAGTTTCACAAGTCAGGAACTAGGAAAAGAAAAACCAGGCAAACAGCATAACAGAAAGGTTAAAAAACTACACGAGACAAGTCAAGATTAGAAACAAAGTACGTACTGAGCAGTGCAGATGAGTATTCTTCTGCAAACCATGAAGAATTTGTTTTCAACTCAAAGTTTAATGTCTTTTCTAAAGCATACACTGTTTGAAACTGGGATTAGTGTGGGGACATCAAGGACCATGGTGGACAGGGATCGGCTCAGGTGGTCCAAGTTGTACTCTACACCTTCATCAATTTATCACTAACAAGGAAAGGAGGCATTAGTATTTTTTACTACAGTGAGCAAGGAAAGAAGACAATTCTTTTTCAATTCAAAGTCACATCTACTTTCGAGAATACAGAGCACTGAGTCAACTATTTCACAGGGCAGCTCTTCTTCCACCTTTTATTCTAAACTGACTGCACTGCTCTCAGAGCCTGTTTGCAGTTTCTTACCCATTTCCCTACCCCAAGAAATTAAGACTTGTGGCCTTTAAAGTCATCGACAGCTTTTGCAGGAAAAGTTTTGGCACTCAAGACACTTCCAATGCTCTCACAGCACTGCCATCGAATGACAGATCCGAGATGTTAAACAATCCCAGACAAGGCCAATCAGAGGCCTGGACCAGCCGAGACCAGAGCAGTGACCTGTGAACCTCAGCAGGTGAATTCCCTGCGGGGAGGCTCGAGGGGCAGACACAGGGCTGCTGTGAAAGGTGCTGCTGGGGGCTAAGGGAAGTTGTCCTTCTCACGCACCTTCCAAATCTGCCAGTGACGGATCCTACCCAACAGAAAAACCCTGAACAACCCAACAGTGAACACTGACTCCATTTTTCAGAGCTTTAAGTCAACACTGTGATTAACCACCACCCTAGAAAGCTCCTTAATCAACAACACTGAGACCATGCACTGTGATGGCATCTTGCTCTGGGTAAAGTCTGCGGTGCTCAAGCACGCTGCCCTAGCATCGATGTGTGGAAGATGTGAAGCGTAGCCAAGACAAATGGACCACATTAAGTACTTCTTCCTTTTCCTCTTAACGTACGTCACGCTGCAGAAAAGGCTCCTCTCACTGGTCAGTATGAAACTCATCCTCACAACACACATTTGCCCTGCAATCCCAAATTACTTGGAGGCTATGAAGGAGATGCTGCCCTCAAAGCGCCATGAGAATTTACACAAACACACTCGTTTTGTTTGCTGGGTTTGTTTTGTTGTGGAGTTTTTGTGTGTTTGTTTCTTTCCAAGAATGCACAAAGTTTACACCCAGAGGCATTTTGTTGTGTGAGTGTTCTCCTCTGCTCAAACAAGGGAGTGCTGCTTGCAAATGCTGCTCATTCCAAGACAGAACTCAGCCATTGACCACAGCTCATTTTAGGCATGGTCTTGCCCATCACCCTTCCCATTCAGAGATGCCCATTTTCCAGCTCCTTGAAGGCATCCAGAAGGGCTCCTCTAAATATCACCACAAGGACTCTGTTCTGTAGACAAGTCACTCATCCCCTGCTTCCTGAGGCATTTACAACTGGATGCAGGCAGCAAGACTGAAAACCAGCACTGATAAAGCTCTGTGGCAGACCAAAAATGAAGCTCAGACGAAGGTTGGGGGTCATGCTGTAAACTGAATGGATGATGAACAGTATCCCCCAAGAGGGGTATCCCAGCAGTACTGAACAGGGAACAGCAGTAAACCCACTGTACTCTTTGGCAAAATGCTCTTTCTAGGAGACAGGAATTGGAAAAGAAAAATGAGGGGAAAGCCACCAAACCCCGCTCAGGCCACCATCTACTCTACCTCCTTCGACTGCAACACGAATAGAAGAAATAGCTGGATGGTTCTGAGAACCTACAGGACAGAAAAATGAAAGTTCAGCTAAATATTAATGGTGATGTCAATTCTTGTACTGCAGTGTGCATGAAGCACAAGTAAAAGCAAAAATGAATGTTCTGCAATTACTAAAATTTGGTGTCGAGATGTAATAAAGTGAAGAAAACTGCTGGTTTGCAGGATTCAAGAAAAGATTTTTACCTTTCATAAATTCAGTCTGAAGTTCAGGATCCTTAGGCAAGATAAAACTAAGAAGGCATTCTTGTGTGGGGAACACCCAATCCTCTGGCCTGTCTGTACCCTCATGTTATACCCTGAACCAGTAATAAACCAGAGAAGGGTCAAAACGGGCAGGAAACCAACAGAGCTGGCTAAATACACCATGGACCATTATGATTCGCTGAATTTACAGGTATTTTTTAAATCCTGTTGGTCCTACAAACAAGCTTCCTCATGACCTTTTTTAAGTATGCTGTACACGTTATGAAGTCCGTTTTACATGAGCACATATTTAATTTTAATCTGTCCCAGGTGAACTTTAAACATTCAGTATCCATAAGTGATGGATCTGAATGGCCAGTGTGTTTTCAAAAGACACGCAGGATCTCTGACAAGTCTGGCAGCTTTTGAGGTTTAAAAGAACCTAACGTGTCAGATACCTACAAGTACCCATTTTGCTTCCCACATTTGCAATTCCACCTTCACCCTCTAATTCCCAAACACTCGCTGTCCTATTTTCTTACCTGGTCACTAATAACAAGCACGCTGCTTAGGCAGACCAGACTTCAAAGGATGTCAGTGTAATTTCAGTACTGGTCTCCTGCCCTCTTTTTACCCAATTCTTACATAAACAGCCTCAGACTGCAGGAGCAGCTCTGCCCTAAATTCTGTAATTCTGCTTAACTGGACACGGTGATTTCAGACAGCAGTCATCTCCTGAGCGAGGAAAGTCTGAAAGGGCTGGCAGGTAAACTACAGCATTCCCCTAAACGGCATAAACATGGTAGAGAAACAATAGAAGAAAACATTATTTCCACAGTAGTATTGTTACTAGAAGGCGTAATATTCTTGGTAAACTTTACATACTGATAAAAACAAGTTACAAAAACTGATGTGATCAGACAAAACACAGTTTCTTTTCAGAAACTGCATGCCTAATCCCATCCCACTCACCCCTAATGAATTAAAGCGTGCAACTCAAAGGCAAACGTAGAGAGGTAAAGTACGAAAGTTATATTTAAACAACTAAGCAGGGAAAACTTGAGAAGCAGTCAGACTTTTAAACTTAATCTTTTCCAGCAAAGTATTACCACAAACAGCGGTAAATTCCTCTCCAGGCTCCTGACTTAATCTTCTCTGGATTGCAATGTATAAGCCCTCCTTTGTTGGCTGCAGCATTTCAACCCCTGCTGATGTGTCAAAAACTGTGACCATTAGGCAGAACACAAGTACGCTGCGTTGAATCCCATTTGTTCCTTTTTCCCTTTTCCAGAAGATGACAACAGATATGATAGAGAGCAACAACACCAAATCCACTGCTCCCCTCCTGCCCCAGAGACACCTGAGGATGGTGACCAAGGACGGACACAGCACGTTCCAGATGGACGGTGCCCAAGGAAAAGGCCTGGCGTACCTCCGAGACGCATGGGGAATACTGATGGACATGCGCTGGAGATGGATGATGCTGGTCTTTTCTGCCTCTTTTGTCATTCACTGGCTAGTCTTTGCAGTGCTCTGGTATCTGCTGGCCGAGATGAACGGGGATCTGGAGCTGGACCACGATGCTCCACCTGAGAACCACACTATATGTGTCAAGTACATCACCAGCTTCACAGCCGCCTTCTCCTTCTCGCTGGAGACGCAACTCACGATCGGTTACGGCACCATGTTCCCAAGCGGGGACTGTCCCAGTGCCATTGCACTGCTTGCAATACAGATGGTCCTGGGGCTCATGCTGGAAGCCTTCATCACAGGTAACCCTTCCTATTTCATCTTTAAACAGAACAGGTGTAACCGTTAGATTGAAGAGGCTGAGCTAGAAATCAGCAGTGCTCATACTGGTGTCTGAAAGAATTCAGTCACCACAAGGACCAGGAGATGTGAGCTATGTGGTTGTAACAAAAGGCATCAATCAGGTGAGACCGAGATCAGACTCAAGAGTACCAACACTCATTAGATACTTGTGGCAGATCCCCACTTACCACTCTCAATCACCCCTCTCTTATAACATTATCTCCAAGTTCTTTTTCCATGGAATTACAATATTTAAAGTCCATTTGATTTTATTTTCATGTTTTTTGTCTAGCTGAAGTACATTCACTGATATTTCACTCAGTGTTTAGGTATTCCTCAGTACACAATATAATAATTTTTACAGTGTGACAGCTATTTCGAGGTATTTCAAGTTATCTAAGATAATTTTCCTGTGTAAAGGAATTAAAAAGACTAAAAATACACAGGTTAGTTCACTGTGTATTAAGAAAGAGCTTCTCCAGTGGTAGCACACCAAGGTCAGGCTCTATCACCAATTACAGTAAATCGAGGCAAGATAATGGCTCTCCTTCCTGCAGCTACACTCTCCAAATATCAGTAAGTGAATAAGGTTTAGAAATAGAAGCATTTTAGGAAAGCTCAATTTTTGAAACAGAAATGGGTCAGTCTAATGCCAGCCCAGCCGTGTTCAACCATGCAGGCTGAGGCTAGAAAGCCCACGTCCACCCAAGCCTGTCTGTTCCTCTGGGCCGTTTCAGAGCTCGGAGGCTGCAGATGACCAAGGTGGGCACGGTGCTCACATCCAGTTTGTTCTTCTCCACGATGCAGGTGCTTTTGTGGCCAAGATAGCCCGACCAAAGAACCGGGCGTTCTCCATCCGCTTCACCCGCTGTGCCGTGGTGACGCACACCGAGGGGAAGCCGTACCTCATGTTCCAGGTGGCCAACACACGCTCCAGCCCCCTGACCAGCGTCCAGATCTCTGCTATACTTTACCAAGAACAAGAGAACGGGCAGCTGCACCAAACCAGCATTGACTTCCACCTGGACAGCATTGCTCTGGACGAGTGTCCTTTCTTTGTGTTCCCGCTGACCTACCACCACTGCATCGCTCCATCCAGCCCGCTGGCTGCTCTGCTGCAGAGGGAAGCTGCTCACCGCTTCGAGCTGGTCGTCTTCCTCTCGGCTGTGCAGGAGGGCACGGGAGAAACCTGTCAGAGGAGAACCTCCTACCTCCCCTCGGAGATCAAGCTGTACCATCGCTTCGCCTCCGTGCTAGCCCGCAACGCCAAGGGGGAGTACCAGATCAAGATGGAGAATTTCGACAAGACGATTCCCGAGCTCCCAGCCGCAGCCGACTCCAAGAGTCCCAGAAGGACTGACAAGGAGATCCGCATCAACGGCCAGCACGCCGACAGCTTCCAGCTCTCCGAGACCGGCCTCACAGAATAGGGAGAACTGACTTCGAACTGTGTGCTTTTTAATTGTTATTATATTAACAGTTCAGGTTCCACGTACGGCCTTCCTTCCTCGCCTGCCCTGCCATCTTCTAGTCATCTCTCTTGTACTCCCATCCTTTTGATTACACTACGACATGCAGAGTAAAGAGAACTGGTGTGCCCATGTAAGCTGAGGAGAGGCTGGGTGAACCACCCTGGACAAAATCAGGTACAGCAATCACAGGACTAATTCTTGGAAATTCAAAGAGCTACCTGCTGAATTCACCAGACCATGATTAAAGCCGTGCTGACCCCGAAAGAAGAGACCTTCCAAACTCCCAAAGCTGCCCCAAACCGTAATTAACCAGCTCGGGACAGCCCAAAAGAAAACTGTCTGTCCAAACCAACGTGGGGTCATTCAGTAAACGTGTTCTGGGATAAGCAACTCTGTTCACCCAAGACCCTGATTTTCTGTTCTCTTCGCTCTCTGGGGATACAGAGTTGGTTCTCAGATGGCTGAATTCACTGTTGGAAAGCACTGCCAATCTCCCATGGCAGTGGAAACCGCTCCCGCTGTGCTTATTAAGCAAAACTGTACATACGAACTGTAGCTCTTCGTTCTGCCAAGTAAGAGAGCATCTCGTTTCAACACCGGTCTGTGAAGACACTATCCAAAAATCCCGATGGATGTGACAAATGCTGCAGTGGAAATTTTTTCATATTTGGAAACGCTGACTAAATTATTTAGCAGTGGAAAACAGACCATTCCAAATGAATTAAGGTACTTGTTTCCCATAAGGACCATACGTTCCACACGTTCTCACCTTTGTGCTGCTCGTCTCAAGTAGATCTGACCCAGAAGGATGCGCTATATACACGAGAAGTAGAACTGCATCCATTTGTATTTTATGCTTTTTAACATCAATATTTGCCTGTACACACAGCACAAGAGTATTTAGACACCTGAATCAATTTTAAAATAAAAAATTAAAACAAACTATACATGAGACTTCTGTATTTAAGTGCCTCGTAAACTCACTGCAATTAAGACACTGTTCTGAAGCTCCTAAATAATTTACCAAGCTAAAGGGTAAGCAGAACGATGGAGAATTATTTCCAAGCTCTCCACAAAAGCAGGGCCTATGACATGTTCAGACTCGAGCAGTCAGCATCAAAACAAAGCCAAAGTTATCTTTGAAAGGTAAAAGACCTTTCCCAGAAGCCAAGATGGCAAATAGCAACTGTAACTGCTAACACCATGACACACTACAGAATAGGCTTCATTTTAGCCTCACTGAAGTGACAGCGGCAGGAAAAGCTGTCTCGAGCTATCTGGTGAGATTCTGTTTAACTGCACCCTCCTCGAGCCCCAGAACTCTGAACTGAGTGTGTTCATACCTGAAAGGGGTCAGGAGAAAGCTCCTTTGGTTTAGGGTTGGGGAAACGGGAAGCAGCCCCATAGCAGCATGTCACAGGGGAAGGGGAATGAGGCAGAAGGCCCAGGTTCTCATTGCAGTTCAGCTCGCATTCCAAAACTGTTCAGATGTTACCTCCTCACATCCCAGGTCTCAGATTTGGTTTGATCAGATACTTTCAAAGTACCTTTTTTTAAAAAAAATAATTTTATTTAAAAGCTTTCATGAATACTGGGAGCTTGGAGAGCAACACTACCAACTTACACTGCCTTTCTCACTGCTTTTCTCAGTCTAAAGATCCCTTTTCCACCTTCATATCGGTACCAGTAATTGTCAAGCATTTCTTGCAAGTGTTATTTCCATGCTCTCTCCCAGTACAAGACACTGAGAAGGGCAGAACAGATTCCTGTGTCAAGCCTGAAATCACCATCTACAAAACCCAGCAGCATTCTGTTGTGCCATAGATCACAGCCCAGCCTCAGACGAACCAGTCATTCTAAAACTCCCAGCAGCATAATCCCAACAGGATGGTACTGCAGTCTCACCTTTTAGAGCCAAAGCTATTAGAAGCTATTTCTAATTTCAATTAATGTCTAATCGTAGCATGAGCTGCTTCCCTTGGTTTCTAAATGACTTGACTTTAAAGATGTCCTGTTTTTCAGACTGTTTTCTGTTTATAGAACTGGTTTAAAAGGGGGTACAACAGCAAGTATAGAGAAAGAATACGTTTAGCATCCACTAAATGTCATCTTTAAACATCACATTTCGGGAGGTAAAGCTGAAGACTACTACAGCAGCACATCACACAGCCACACACAACTGTGTCTGTGCTTCAGAACGGCTGCAGGAGGACACATAAAACACCTCGACTGCTTTGACACCTTCAGAGAACTGGTGAACCATGGATGTCTGAGCAAGTATTGCAAGTGTGCCATGGCCCAAATCAGAATACAAGCCTCGAGAAGGTGCTGATCGGTTCTGGAACAACACAACTGCAGTTTCCACTTGGACTGACGTTGCAGAGCGAGCTGGTGATGATCCTGCTGTGGAAGCACTTCTTGCTAGCGAGGCAGGGACAAAAACCAGCCAGGCAGAGCAAGGAAACGTGCAATTCAAAGAAATGCAACATCCTTTTGATAGTCACCTCAACATCCTTTTGATAGTCAAGTCGTCTTAACCTAACCAAAAATCACACACTAAACAGAACTCGATCAGGTTCCACAACTGACTTCCTAGATGTTTTGCTTAATCTACGTTACAATTATTTACTACCAGTGTGTAATTGCTGGTAACTAATCAAATCTCCTCAGCTACTAAGCTGGTGTTAGTCAAGAGGCTGCACAGAACATTAAGCAGCTTTGGTGCGGTTCTAGAAGACAGCCGTGCTCAACAAAACAACTTGCTCATTTTCCTTGCCAATGGCCTCAGCCTTCCAGAAGTGATTTGGGTCCTCGGGTCTGTCAGAGCCGTGGCAATCTGCAACGTAAACCCGAAAATACGTTGTGCATCTTCAATGTGCAGACTGAAACTAGGAACAGATATTTATGTTGAGAATCAGTCAAACGTGAACTCACAAACGGTTGTGAGCACTGAAAAAGCAGCCATTAATCTTTAAGGATCGTATTTGAGAAGTAATTCCTTGCTGAAAGTCTATTACTTTTTAAACCTCATTATTTTTAATTGAGGGGTTCTTGCACTGCCATCCATTATGAATGCCCAGAAGAGTTTAATATTTGATCTGTTATTAATTCTGTAACGTGATCGCCCAGCACAAAGAACACGACGAAGCTGGCGACTCGGTAAACGACGTCATTTGAGGCCAATCCAAGGCCCTGTGAAAGAGCAATGAAAAACTGAAGCACAGCAAAACCCTAAACTGAGGAGCTGAACCACAGCAACAGACACCAAGCCGTGCATCTAAAGCACGTTCACCTGAATTACAGATCACACGTCGATTCACTCCCTCATCTTTCTGCTTCCAGGCTCTGTGTGGTGCTCAGCATTACCATGGGACGACTTCTGGTACATCTGCATCCCGGTCACACCCCAAATATTTTGTCACTGGAAAGCCTTTACATAAGTCACTTTGTTCCTTGATCAAGGCTTGAATCAACCAGCACCCTCTGTTAACATTTCTGTGCTCTCCACCTTATTTCTCTCTGGAATCAGAGATGGGAAATTATCCTCCCACTTAGACATTAATCTCTAATTTAGTGATATGCAAACAGAAATTACCACTGAGAAAACCACTTTTAATATTAAAACTTCAGAAAGACTGCAGGTTTCTTGCCTCTATCACACTGTGCCCCAGAGCTTTCAGCCAAATAAGATCAAACCAGAAGAGAAACAGAACAAGAGGAGCAATCGAGTCCTACAGAAAGCTTTATGGATTGGGGATAAGCACACCAGCCCTCACCACCGACCAGGGCTTCCAACACAGCAAGTTACCTTTTAGAAGTAACCTCTTTTTAAGGAATATAAGCAACTTTATGTTGACTTTCAACTTTAAAAAACAGAAAAATAGAAGTACTCTTTGAAGTAGATGAAAATCAATCCCTACATGGAGAGGGGATTGGGAGGGCTTTGAAAGCAAACCTGGTAGTGTAAGATTCCTAAGGCATGTGCCACCACGGTGATCTGGAACATCATTGAAATGGCAACTTATGCTACTCTCACTGAAAAAACCAAATAGACAGCTAAGCATGGATTAAAACACGTCCCTGTCAACTTTGAATGGGTTTTATTTGTCTTGAAGTTCAACCTACAATGGTCTTTCAGAATCACAGAACCATTCAGGTTGGAAAAGACCTTTAAGATCAAGTCCAGCCATAAACCTAACATTGCCAGGTCTACCACTAAACCCTGTCACTAAATGCCACATCTACATCTCTTTTAAATACCTCCAGGGATGGGGACTCCACCACCTCCCTGGGCAGCCCATTCCAGTGCTTGACAACCCTTTCAGTGAAGGAATTCTTCCTAGTACCCAGTCCAAACCTCCCCTGGTGCACATTGAGGCCATTTTCCTATTACCTGAAACCAGGGAAGTAAGACTGACGCCCACCTCGCTACAACCCCTTTTCTCTTTCTTCCTGACTTACGCTTTACCAATGCATTCCCTAAGGAGGATATTTAGCCAAAACTCCTTCAGCAAAGGCCAAAAGATCCTCTGGATACTCAGAAAAGCCAGACTCATTGTCAGCAAGCCTTTGCTAGGACCAAAATCCCTCCCTAAGCACAGCTGGGGTACACGTATGTGGAAACAAGTCCCAAAGAAAGAGCTGGGTCGCACTGGAGCACAACCAGTGCACGATCCACCAAGCAGAAATCACTGCGCTTGACATATCAGTTCATAGAGGAGAACTGGGATGTTCTTACCACTCTCAGACCACAGAGTAGGTTTGTCCCATCTCCAAGACGGCAACCCACTCCACGTTCAGCCGAATGTTCACACAGACACACTGGGTCCAAATCAAGGATCCCGCGTGCTGCCTGAATGTGGCCAGCGTGAAGCATTTAAAAAGCAAATAGCAGAGGAATGGCAACGAGGGAGACCAGAGGATAACCTGCATAAACAGAGGATTTGTATGATAACTTC